TCAGCACCTCTCCCCACCAGTCCCTTGCTCCAGTACCTCGTGCAGTGGTGGCAGCCAGAGCCGCCTCCTCCTGGGCCGTGGTGGCCCGATAGGCCATCTCATAGCGGGATGTGACGCTGGTTCGCACTACAGGGGGGAAAAGCTGAGTGAATCCGTTAACCCTGGTCCCCAAGGCCCCTCAGAGGAACAAGGGCAACCCCAGGAGGATACATGCTACAAGGTCCTTTGGGCACCAGCTGGTGACCCACCATGGCACGTGGCATCAGCTGGTCAATGCAGGCAGCAGGACAGCCCCCCCATCACCCAGGCACATCCCACCCTCCCAGGGCTCCATCCTCCACATCCCCAGGGAGAGGGGCTGGTCCCTTCCCTGCAGCACGCTGGGGGCCTTGCTGTCCCCTCTGCTCCCGTGCTGGGGAACGTGGGTTTGGGGTCTGGGGAGCTCCGGGCTGCCCGGCAGAGAAGCCACGGGCAGGTCGGGACCCCTCGGAGAAGAACAAGGGCACCCAGGAGGGGCAGACGGGGCACGGACGGACGGTGGGGGGGTGTTTCTCACGGTTCACGGAAATCTCCATCTCCTGCACGTCCCTGAAGGGCAGCGGGCTCGGCAGGTCCCGGGGCACGGACCCCGGGCTGAAGACCACGGTCACGGGCACGACCAGCTGAACCTGCACGGGGGCAGCGTCAGCGTGGGCCCCCGAGCCCCCGGAGCCCCCACTGGCCCCGGACCCCCCCGGCTCTCACCGGCTGCTGGCCCAGCCCGTCGATGTCGGCGTAGGGCAGCGCGGCGCGGTAGGTCTCGGTCGTTCTCCACCACAGCGGCAGCCCCAGCACCACGGCGATGGTCGCGAAGGACAGGGCGGCGCGCCGACCCCGCGCCCGCTCTGCGGGGACAGCGCTTCAGCACCGGTCCAGCTCCCCGCACTCCGGAGCCGGAGGGCTGGGAGCAGGAGAGAGCGAGCGAGGGAGCGCCGGGCCCTCCATCCCACCCATACCTGCTTCGTCCGCGGCCATCGCCGCCGCCGCCGCTGCCGCCATCTTCACTTCCTGGTCCGGCCGGGGGGGCGTGCCCTGGGCCCAGCCCAGCCACTCAGCGCTCGCCGTGCCCAGAGCAGCCAATAGGCGCGGAGTGCGCCGCTCGGCGGCACAGACAGGCGGGCAGAAGGACCAATCAGACCACTCCCCGGCCCTGCGAAGGCGGACTTTGCGCTCTACGAGTGCCGCGGAGGGACACACAATGCCACCGCCTGCGCGGACCGGCGAAGAGGGGCTCCGGTGCGACGTCAAGCGCCAGGACCGGGAGTGGAGGACACGGGGAGTGGGGAGCACAGGGCCTGCTCAAGGGCTCCTCGCCCTCCCCGCGGCCAATAGGGAGAGCCTAACCAGCCCCGCGCCGAGCTCACAGAGCCTCCCGATGGCAGTGGGTGGGCTGAGACCGGACACAGCTCATTGCACGAGTGAGCTCAGCAGGCTTTGGATGGTGCCCGGAGCGGGCAGCCCGGAACGGGGCAGCTCGTGGTTCCCGGGCGCCCCGCGGCGAGGAAGGAGGCGGCGCAGCGCTGTCTCTACCATTTATTCGTTGTTAGGCTATTTGGTACACGGGGTGCACACACGGCGAACACGACACAGGCGCCCCCGAGGGCGGCGGCGACCAGGACTGCAAAGCTACGGCAGGGCAGGGGCACCCCCAGGCCTCCCCTCCTGCCCCCCCACGCGGCCTTGCCCTACTCTCCAGCCTCACAGCCCCGCCGGAGCCCCCTGCCAAAGGGGCAGCCGGGCGGCTCCCTGCAGGGCCCGGGGGAACCCGGACCCCCCACTCCAAGCGCGGGTGCGGCGGCGTGGGGCCGGCCCGTCGGCACGCTCCCCTTCCCCTCCCCGCGTGGCGGCTCCCCTGGGTGGCTGGGGTGGAAGCGGGGTGTGAGCAGTGGCGGGGAGGGGGCCGGGCCGGGGGGCCGGCGGGGTGCCCGGCCGGGGCTCAGTATGCGTGGTTGGCCACGTAGAGGGACTGCCCGGCGGCTCCCGAGTCGTCCCCGCTGCCCTCGTACTTGCCCAGCGCCGCCAGCCCGTTCACCTGCAGGGAAAGGAAATGTCAGTGGTTTCACCCCAACCCCATGGGGTGTGGCCCTTGGGGTCTCCCAGTCCCTGGGGTCACAGCTTTTGGTATTCCCCTCCCACAGGGACAGGGCTCTTGGTGTCCCCCATTTCACTGGGCACAACACTTGGCGTCCCCCATCATCCCAGATCTGATCTGGTCCTTGGCACCCCGCAATCCCCTACTGGGGACACAGCCCTCACTGTCCCCCATGGAGACAGTACTGTGTCACCTCCTCAGGGTCTGTGGTCCTTGGCATCCCTTGTCCCACGAGGCACAGACCCTGTGGGACGTGGTCCTCAGCATCCCTCCTCACCCATGGGTTCACAGCCCTCGGCATCCCCGCCATCCTGGGGGATACAGCCCCCTCTGTTTCTCCACCACTCCATGGTGGCACAGCCCTCAGAGTCTTTTATGATCCCATGCACACACAGCCCTCAGTGTCCCTACCACCCCATGGTGACACAGCCCTTGGTGCCCCCACCACCCCAGGGGATGCAGCCCTTGGTACCCCCTCTCAGGAGGGCCACCCCCATCACCTCTGCACGCTTGACAAACTCCTCGGTGGCAGCGTCAGCGTTGTCACTCTGCCCACGCCAGGCGTTGAGCGCCGACGCCTGCAGCGCCCGCCCGTAGGAGAAGGTGAGGGCCCATGGCCGCACCAGCGGGCACGTGTTGATGGCGTTGAGGTTGATGGAAGCCTCCTCCTCACTCTGACCCCCAGACAGGAAGGTGACACCTGCAGAGAGCAGGGTTATGGCACCGGGCAGGGGGACACAAGCCATCCCCCTCCTGGTCCCTGCCACGTCCCAGGGCTGGTACCTGGCACGGCTGGGGGAACGGTGCGGCGCAGAGCGGTGACAGTGGCCATGGCAATCTCCTCAGGACTGTACTTGGTGGGGCAGGAGTGCCCAGGGGTCACCATGTTGGGCTTCAGCAGGGTCCCCTCCAGGTAGACGTGGTGGTCGCTCAGTGCCTTGTAGACAGCTGCCAGCACCTGGGGAGGATGGGCAGTGTGGAGTCCCCCCAGCAGGGCACAGCACAGCTTAGTGCCCACCCTGCTGCCACCCCACCACTCACCTTCTCAGTCACATACTGGCACCGCTTGAGGTCGTGGTCACCATCAGGCAGGATCTCCGGCTCCACGATGGGCACGATGCCGTTCTGCAAACAGCAGGCAGATGCCATCACGGTGATGTCCCTGGGCATCCCCCAGCCCCATTGTAATGTGGGACACTGCCCACAGCCAGGAAGCGATGCTCATCCCCAAGGCTCAACCCTTGACAGTGATGCCCAGCCTCATGGGGGAATGCCCAGCCTGGAAGGGTCAATTCTTGGCCCCATGGAGCAATGCCTGTGTCTGTGAGGTGATGCCCAGCCCCACATAACAATGCCTGGCCCTGTGGACTGATGCCTGATCCCATGAGTGATGCCCACCCCACAGGGCAATGCCCAATCATCCACGTGAGGTGTTACCTGGCGCACAGGTCATGTCCCGCCTCACCCATGGGATGATCCCCAGCGGTTATCAATGCACAGGGTCAGTGCTGAGCCTCATGGATCTGTGCCCGCCTCCGTGAGGCAACACCTGCCCACCCAAGTTAATACCCATCCTATCCATCGCCCGCCCTGTGGGGCGATGCCTGCCCCCAGACACAGACCTGCTGGCAGATGCTGGCGTAGCGGGCCAGGACGTTGGCGTTCTCCATGATGGCGAGTGCGGAGGGGGTGTGCTCGCTGATCTTCAGCACGCAGCGCCACTTGGCAAAGTCAGCCCCATCCTTCTTGTACTGGGCACAGCGCTCCCACAGCCCATCCAGACCTGCCGGGCAGCGCGTCAGCCCCACAGCCCCAAACCCGCGGCCCCAAACCTCACAGCCCCAAACCCCATCCCCTGCCCGCTCTACCTACCCTGCGTGGTGGTCTCGCCATCTGTCCCAGCCAGCGGCACAACACCCTTGTCCACCTGTGGAGTGAGGGGAAGGCGGTGCTGAGCCCCCACCAGCACCCTCCAAGCATCCTCAGCACCCTACAAACCCACCGGACACCCCCTCACACCTTGATGCCCACGACGATGCCCTTGTCCTTGATCATCTGGACGAAGGGGGTGCCGTCGTCAGCCTTCTGGTACATGGTCTCGTGGAAGAAGATGACCCCCCCGATGCATTTCTTCACCCGGCTGTCGGCGCTGAAGAGGATCTGGCGGTACAGCCGGCGGTTCTCCTCCGTGTTCTCCACCCCAATCTGGTTGAGGCGCTTCGCCATGCTCCCTGAGGGCACCCAGCAACCTCGTCAGCCTCCAGGGTGGGGAAAAAAGGGGTGGCGGGGCAGATCCCCCCCTTTGCCCAGACTGACCTACGGACTCATCGGCTGCCAGGATGCCCTTCCCGGGGGCCACGATCCGCAGCGCGATGTCCGACAGCTCCTTCTTCTGCTCGGCCGTGAGCGCGGGGTGTTGGTGCGTCATGGTGGCGGTGGCTGCGAGCGGACGGGGACTGAGTCACGCACCACCGGGGCGGCTCCCGAAACCACTCGTACCCGCCTCCGGCGGGGACCCGGGACCCTCCAGGGGGCTGAGACCCCCGCCCCACCGGTCAGGGGATGTTGTGTAAGCCTCGTGGCGGGCATTCGTGGAGGATGCCGGGGAGTTCCCAGCCATTTTGCTGCCTTGCCAGCCCGCCCCCAGCCCAGCCATCTTGAGGGAGCGCAGTTCCGCGGGGACCGGGGCAGGGCCCCGAGGGCACGAGGATGGGGGTATCCCGGGGCCGGGAATATTCTGCGGAGGATGGAAACAGCCCGGGGATGGGGATACCGGGGGACCGGAAATACCCCGGGAAAGAGGGAAGAAGAGAACCCAGGGAGGCACTACCTGCGTCTTGCGGTACCTGGGGCTTGGGGTACCCCGGAGATGGCGATCCCCCCCAGGGCCGGGGATACCCCGCGGAGAAGTACGCGGGGAATGGCGATAACCCGGGGGGACGGAAATACCCTGGGAATGAGGAATGGGGAGTCTCCGAGGGGCACAAACCGGGGATGGGGGTACTCGGAGTTTGGGGCACCCCAGGGATGGCGATACCCCGAGGCTGGCGCCGTCGCGGGGCCGGTGATGCCCCCGGGAACTGGCGCTCCCCTCGGGGCAACACATTCCCCGGCCGGCACCATCGGGACTCGAGCTCCGCCAGCGCACGAGGAGTCTCCGGGGTCTCCCCAACCCCCCAACACCCCCATGTCCGGGGGTCCCTCTGCCCTGGAGCCCCCCAGCCCTGCCCGACCTCCGGGAATGCCGCGTGGAGACACCCCGGAGGCTCAGTGGGGCTGCCGCCTCCCGCCGCCGGCGTCCCCCGCCAGCTCCCCCCAGCCCCCGGCTCCCCCGACCCCCGGCTCCCCATACCGTGTAGGGCGGCGGCGGCGGGCACGAACTGCGGGCTGCGCGCTCCGGCCCCGCGGTAAATGTGGCTGCGATGCCGCAGAGCTACGTGACCGGCGGGGCGGCACCGGGCAGGACCAGCCCCCGGGCCCGCCTCCTGCCGCCCCCGCCCCGCCGGACACAATCCCCCGGCAGGGTCGTGCCCTCCTCCCACCCCCCCAGCCGGCATCAACTCCCGCGCTGGTGGGGACCCCAGGGTGACAACCCCGGGCTGGGGACCCCGTTGTACCACCCTTTTGCAGCCCCTCGCTGTGATGGGGACCTCTCTGTGCTCTACACACACACACACAGAGTCCAGGGACAGAGCTGAGTTACCCCCTGCCATGAGCAGGGCCCCCCGTGCCACGCAGGCAGCCCACTGTGCTACCACCAGTTGCTGCTGGAGACCCTTCTGTGCCACAGACCCCTGCTTGGTTATGGGCAGGGACCTCCTCTGCCACCCCCTTGCTACTGCTGGGGACCCACTGTGTGCACCCCTATTGCCACTGCCAGCTAAGGGCAGGGACCTCCTGTGCCACCCCACTGTTACTGCACCAGACACCCTGGCTGGGTCACCTCTGCGACCAGGGGCCAAGCCCCAGCAGCACTGAGCCCCAGACCCCCCAGGACAGGGTGGGGGCACTCACTGGAGACCAGCCCCCCTAAACAACCGCCTAGAGCCGGCACAGAGGGACAATACCAGTGTCCCCACTCGCCCCATGGGGACAGCCGCCAGGGCCCCACTGTGCTGAATCCCGCCGTAAAAGGAGGGCTCAGCCGCCTCGCGTGGCCCTAATCCAGGGAAAGGAGTGCATTTCTCCCTGCATCCCTGAGCCAGGAGCCCCCACTGCCAGCCTCACATCTCAGGGGGCCATAACCTACCCCACTGCTGCCAGCAGGGTCACAGCCAGAGCAGGGAGAGAGGTGATGCCAGGAAGCAGGTTGTGCCGCTTCTCCACAGGCCACCCACGCACCCGGGGAATAGAGGCACAGCCCCAAACACCTCCATTCCCTGGGGAAATCAGGGTGCCAGCACCCCAGGTGTCACAGTCCCTGCCTCGCACAGAGCGCCAGGGCTGTGGCAGAGGGCAGGGGAAGGTGATTCTCTCCCCGTGGGCAGGAGAAACAGGCCATTAAAAACCAGAGCACTTGTTTGAGTGCTGCTATTTTGGGCAATTGCAGGGGAGGGAGGCGCCGTGTGGTCCCCACGGCGGTGGGGAGCATCCTTGGGGTCGGGAACACCGGGATGGGGATCCCCCCAGGAGCTGCCCTAGCAGGGAAGGAGGGAGGTGAGGTTGGAGCTGTGCTGGGAGCAGGGGAGCCCCTAAAGGGAGCCCCCCTCCATGCAGCAGCCAGGGGGGGGGTTGGGAGCAGGAGCTGGCAGAGCTCCCAGTGCTGGCTGAGCCATGGGATGCTGCCTGCTGGAGCCATGCTGGGAAGGGGAAACATCCCTGTGCAACAGGCGTGTGCCCACAGCCCCGTGATGGGGAGCAGGATGCAGCCTCTGGACCCATCCTGACACGACAGGCGTGCACCCACAACCCCACGATGGGGGTGTGCAGGATCCCGACGATCCCGGTGGAGAGGGAAGGAGGAGGGGGGTCACAGAGGGAATCTAGGGCAAGAGGAGGAGGGGGGACTGAGGGAGGGAAGCTGGCTCAGCCTGGGCAGTCCGGCCGCTGCCGAGGCCGCAGGGTGGGAGCCTGGGGAACGCAGCGTCTCATTGAGAGCAAGCACTGGCAGCGGGGGATGTGTCCCCCGCCAAGAAGGAGAGGCCCTGGGGTGGCAGAGAGCTGTGCCCATGGCCCCGTGACGGAACAGGAGCAGCCGGCACAGGCTGGACAAGTTGTCCCCACCCATAGCACCAGGAGCTTCCTGAATCCACGCACCAGGCAGGGTAAATGCCAACAAAAACTTTATTCAATAAACAATTACAACAGTAAAAACAGTAAGGTTTTAGTAAGACAGAAGAACAGAAAGGTTTTAGGCTACGGGCTTAGTGGTGGCTCAGCAGCTTCCTTGCTGGCTTGGCTTCAGGCCCAGGTACCACAGCAGGCTGTGGAACTCCTGGCAGCCCACTGCCACCTCAGGGATGACTGACAGGACCTGGGGACAGCAGAAGCATTAGTGGCAGTGTTTGGGATGGGAGGTGGTGTTAACAGTCACCATAAGGGTGAGCAATGAACCATATATCTCACCTCTTTCATCTTCTCCTTCATCTCCTCATGGGTCTTCAGCTCTTTCTGGGCATGATGGAGCCTCACCTCCTGCAGTGGGAGATGCCTGTCAGGAGTCTGCTCCAAACCTGGGCAGGGATGAGCCCAGAAGGGAGAGGGGACCCCTGCCCATGTCAGGGAGGTTGGAACTAAATGATCTTTAAAAAAATCCCTTCCAACACAAACCATTCTGATTCTATGACCGGAGCCAAGGCAGCCCCTTGGGGTTCCCCATACCTGCTCCAGGTACTTGTCATAGAGCAGACGCTTCTCATCCCGTTTTTCCAGGAGCAGCAGCCGCAGTTTATCCACCTGCAAAAGGAGCGAGCACTGCTGAGATAACTCTGGGGAGAGAGCCCTGGGATGGAGGGGGGTGTTGCAAGGTTTAGAGAGCTCTTCTTGTTTGTGGCGGGGTTAGTGCCAGGAGGAACCCTCAGCAGCCCCCTGGCCTCACCTCCTGCCGCAGCAGGACCCGATCCTGGACATGGGCCGTGTCCACCTTGGGTTCCTTCCCCCGCATCTCCTCCCACAGCACCTTGGCCTCTGTCTCTGCACGCTGGAGCGAGCGCTTCAGCTGGGAGACCTCTTCCTTCAGCATCTGTGGGGGTAGAGGAGATGCTGAGAGGGGTCCTGGTGCCAGCAGCCCCCTGAGGTGCAGCCCAGCCTTGCCCCCATCACACACCGTGACTTCCCCACTCTTGTCGATGAGTTGCAACATCTTCTCTTCCTGCTGTTTCACCACGTCCTGCAGCTCCTTCTCATTCTGCAAGCCAGGAAGAAGTGGTGTCAGGCAGTGCCTGGCCCTGGTCACCCCCAGCACCCCGTGGGGGAGTGGGTTTTCTCATGTTCAAGAAGGTCAGACAAGCCAGAGCACCCATGGGGCATCACCAGATTTCTCTGTGTCCTAGATCAGCGCCCGTCCCAGTTCGGCTCTGCCCTGGGGTGAGCACTGGCCCACTTCTGGCACAGCTCACCTCGATCTTGGTCCTCAGTGCCTTGTTCAGCTTGGCAATGGTGGCAGCCTGGGCATCCATCTTCTCCTGGCTCTTCTCTGTCACCGTCTCCAGACGGAGCTGCAAGTCAGAACTGGGAGAGGACAGTGGTGGTGAGCAGCTGGGGACCACAGCAGAGCACAGCACCAGGTACCAACCCCTTTCTGGGCATCCCATCAGCCCCATGGTGTGAGAAGACAACTGTCCAAACCCAGCCAGCTGGAAAAAGCCCATCTAGGCATGGCAGGAGAGGTCTAATCCAGAGCTAGCGTGAGAGGCAGACACAGGCAGGCTGCCTGCAGGAGAAGCCATGCCCAGGAGAGTGATGCCCCTGTCTGGCCTTTGATGTGAGCCCCTGCTGAACTCACATTTCCATCTGCAGTGCCTTGAACTCGCTCTGCTCCAGCTCTTGGATGCGGAAGCTCAGCATGGAGAGGTTGGAGACCACAGCTCTCAGCTCTTTCACACTCTCCAGCAGACTCTCCTCGGGATCTGCAGGCAGGGAAGAGCCTCGTGAGTGGCACAGAGGGAACATCAGCCCCAGGGGACACAGAGGAAGGCATGCCTGCTCATCGCTCCGTGTAGCAGCACTGCGGCTTTGCAGCAGGGTCCAGGGCAGGGTGACAGCCCCAATACCTTTTGGCTTCGGTGTGGATGTAAGTTTGTCCCTGCTGAAAGCAGTCTCACCTCTGGTGGCTTCACTGGCATCTGCGAGAGGAGAGGACAGAGGCTGTGCCCAGCTCTGCACATCCCCCAGCATGGGAGGGAGCAATCCCCATCCCCAATGCCCCAAAACCCAGGCAGGAGGTGCCAGCTCACCTTTCCCTGACACCGCTTTCAGGACGCTGCCCACGAAGGAGCTGCCGGCGCAGTGTGGGGTGCGGTGCACGGGCACACGGAAGGCAGGGGTCCAGGCACGGTGGGGTGTCTGCCAGCCTGTGGCCTGCTGTGATGGGGTCCAGGCTTTGCTTCTCAATGGGGCATCATCGTTATCCTTCAGAGGGGAAGGAGAGCACAGCGCCAGAGTGCAGTTTGTGACTGCCCCAGCAAGCATGGGGGTCTGAAAGTTACACCATGGAGAGGTGTAGGTGTGTGACCGCCCCTTGTCCCCAGCACAGGATTCCTACCTGCTCTTCTAGAGCGGCCTTGAGGCAGTCAGCGAGCTCCTGCAGCCGCGTGTGGCACTCTGCAATGTCCTTGGAGCACCAGGAAACTTTGCTCCTCTTCATCTGCACATTGAGGAGCTCAGCCTTGGTATTCTCTAGCTCCTTGCTGAGGGCAGCATGCTCTTCCCTGTGGGATGGCATTAGCCTCAGCAGGAGCAGTATTCCCCTTCCTTTATGTAGGATGGGGACATTTTTCATGCCTGTGTCTCACCATGAACCAGCAATGGTGCAAATCCTACAAATTTGGGCAGCTTTCCCCAAGATAGGGTCTCTACTGGCCTTCTCCAAGTGTCTACCAACCGCTTAGACAACCATGCTTGGCTGGGGTATAGCCATTGTCCCCTGTGTCCCCCCCACCCGCCAGGAAGGGCTTGATTTCCTAAAAATAGAGGGGTTCAAGTGGAGGTGGTGAGTGGGGCAGTACCGCAGGTGTTGGTGGGAATCCATCAGCTTCTCGTGCTGCAGGGTGCACTCCTGTAGAGTGGCCTGTGTGGAGTTCAGCCTGGCCTCCACCTCTAGCAGCTGCATGCGGGACATGCTGTTCTCCTGATCGAGGAACTGCAAGAGGGTGGAGGGACATGGCCATGAGCAGCCAAAGGGAGACCCAGGGGGGCCCACTGGGACCCCCAGCACAGCCCCTCCCCTGCCTCGGGCTGCTGTTTCCAATCAAGGGCAGCTTTATCCCAGCAGATAACTCCTGGAAACCAGTTTACTGAGGACATAGGACAGGCTGGGGGATGGCTCCATGCCTGCAGGGGAAAATTATCTCGAAGAGCTGCCCAGCCCCCTCCCGGGGAATCACCCGCTGGGCAGGATGAAAAGCTGCGCTACGTGCGGGATGTCAACCCGCCCTGCCCTCGAAGGCTCATCCCCCCTCTGCAGGAGGGCTAATCCTGCTTCTGGCCGGTTGCCAGCATTCTGGAGAGGCCATCACGGGGGTCAGCAGCACGTGACAATGTGGGCAGGGTCAGGCAGCTCTTACCTCTCGGCACTCGGTGGCCTCCAGCAGCTCCTGGCAGAGCTCATCACACCTCACCTTCAGGGTCCTGTTCTCCCGTGCCAGCCTATGGGGAGGGGATGGGGTCAGGGAGTGCTACATTTTGGGGGCAAGGGGTGAGAAGAGGCTCAGGACCCCAGGGCTCAAACCCACTCATCCATCTGCTCCTGCTGCTTCTTGTTGTCCTGCTGCAGCGCATCCCGCTCCTGTTCCACACTGGCCAGATTTCTCATCACGGTGCTCAGGTCTGCAAGGGGCAGACCCATCAGTGCAGGAGGATGGGATAGTGGGGATGGGGCAGCTACAAAGCCCCATGTCACCCACCCCTACCTGTTGCAAGGCGTGAGTTGGCCTCCGTCAGCTGCTCCAGCTGAGCCTCCATGTCCTGCAGGGCCACCGAGGTCTCCTGCAGCTGGCAGGACACCTGTGGGGGCACAGCACTTGGTTTAGGCTGCTCGTCCCCATGGAGTGCCCCAAATCACCCTGTGCCTCGGACATCACTCAGCACCAGCCACCTCCCTACCTCCTCCTTGGCTTGAAGAGCTTCGTCTGCTTGCTTCCTCTTGGCATCCCGCTCCTCCAGGCAGCTCCGCAGCTTGCTGGGCACACGCTCCAGCACAGCCTTGCACCGGGACATCAGGGCCCTCACCTGCTCCCGCTGGGAAGGGAGACAGCACCGGGCAGAGCTCAGTGTGGCGCTGCCATGGCACTGCCCTGCTGTGCAGACGGGCTGCTCATGGCACAGAGCACTGGCAGGGCAGCAAGGGGCTAAGCCCCCTCTGGGACACCCCTCACCTCCACATGCATGGCTTTCCTTTCCTTCTGTACATTTTCAAAGGTGACATCAATGATTTCCCGGAAAGTCTGAGTCTCGGCAGACAGGGATTTCTGTGGGGTAGGAGAGAGATGAGTCAGCAGTGCCATGGTGGAGGAAGCAACATTTAATAGCCACGTGGGGAGACAAGTGACAGCCCTGAGGCCGAATTTGCAGCAGCTTCCCAGCAGCAGCATCAGGAAACCTCCAGTGCATCCAAGCCCATCACAGAGCATCACCCAAGCTCAGGACAGGGGGATGCCCTTCCAGCCCCCTGACCACCCAGGTGGGGGGCAGCTGGGGGTACCACCCCACTCAGTACCTGCAGGTCGATGGCCTCTGCCAGCAGTGTGCACAGTTCCCTCTGAGAGGCCAAGCTCTGGTCACGGGCACTGATCTGGGCACTGGCGTGGGCACGGAAGGCCTCCAGGAAATGATATCCCTGCAAGGGAGAGGATGATGCCCCCAGGCATGCTGCTGCATGAGGGGCAAATCCTGGGAGCCATTTCTGCGTGCTGTGCCAGCCTAGGATTCCTACTCCCAATGGGACACAGCCCACACCAAAAACCCATCCAGAGAGCTCCATTGCCCCACACAGCCACAGCACCCTTGGCCTTCCATAATGGTTTTTTCCCTGGGATGCCAGGAGACCCTCACTGCTCAGAGAGGGGCAGAGACACAGGATACCTCATCAAAGGCATGAAGACAGCAGAGATTGCCACCAACAGCTACCCCTTTACCTCCTCCTTTGCTCGTAGGGCTTCATCTGCTCGCAGCCTCATGGCATCCCGCTCCTCCAGGCAGCTCCGCAGCTTGCTGGGCACTCTCTCCAGCATGGCCTGGCACCGGAACACCAGGGCCCTCACTTGCTCCCGCTGCAGGAGGAGACAGCACCATGAGACACTGGAGACAGCTGTTGTGGGTGCTGGCAGCACCAGCATCTCCCAAAACCCAGGGGAAAGGGGAACCAGACCGATGTGTGAGGGCTCACCTCCTGTGCAAGGGCTCCCTTCTCATCCTTCAGTCTCTGAAAGGCGGCATCCGCAACGCCCCGGAACAGGAGACACTGGCTGCTCCAGGCACTCTAGGGAAGGGACAAGGACACTGGAGTCCCAGCAGCACTCCTGTAGCTGGCACAGACAGCACCAGGCACACAGGTGTGCCCTGCCCAGCTGAGACCCAGCACACTCATTGCACACAGCCAGTGAGACACACTATGTTCTTGGCAGCCAGCTCCAGCTCCTGCTGCAGATCCCGCTCCGCTTCTTGCTGCCGCTGCAGGGCCACTGTTTTCTTCCGCTGCTCGAGGTAAAGGTGGTGGTAAATCTCCTCCTCCTAAGGGCATCCAGCAGAGCAGAGAGGGTTTTGCACCAGCCCCACTCCACCCTGGATCCAGCAAGAGCTGGTCAGCCATGTCATCTCCCACCCTCCCTCCACGTGTGCCAGGGATGTTTCCCCCCACGAGGGTTCAAATCCAGCAAACTCAGCGGGTTGATCCAGGCGTGATAATGCAGCACCGGGCGCGTGATGCTGTGCTGCAGCAGCCCTGCTTTACTTCCACTCCACTGGGCCGAAGCCCAGCCGGGGTCACCGTCTCGCCAGCGGCACATGGGCACTGTCACGGCACTGAGGCTGCGGGGAACGGGGTGGCATCACCTGGGACAGGACTCTTACCCCTTCAGGGCAGGTCATGTCCGTCTGTGTGATCATGTCTCTCTGCTCGGCTGGCCCCACACCAGGCAGCAGCCGCTGGTTCTCCAGCCAGCCACGCAGCTGGAGCGCCAGGGCTTCCATGATGATGAGGGTGCTCTCCAGCCGCCCCTCCAGCTCTGCCCGTGGCAGGGTCTTCAGCTGCTCCCGGGGACAGCTGGGGACAGAGAGAGGCTTTAGGGTAGGGACAGCCCACAGGTGCCACAGCCCCAGCCGAGGGGATATGTCCTCATACTTACTGCCAGAGCAAGGAGTCCGTTTCAGTAGCACTGTCCTTGGCACAGGGCAGGCCTCCCCCAGATGTGTTTACGCCCCTTTCCCACAGGTCCTGGATGGCCACGAAAGTGCCAGCAACCCCGCTGGGCACGGGGGTCATGCTGGTGCTGGCTGCCACACTGGACACTGGAGTCATGCTGGTGCCAGTCACCACGCTGGACACTGGGGTCATGCTGGTGCTGGCTGCCACACTGGACACTGGGGTCATGCTGGTGCCAGCCGCCACACTGGACACTGGGGTCATGCTGGTGCCAGTCACCACGCTGGACACTGGGGTCATGCTGGTGCCAGCCGCCACACTGGACACTGGGGTCATGCTGGTGCCAGCCGCCACACTGGACACTGGGGTCATGCTGGTGCCAGCCACCACGCTGGACACTGGGGTCATGCTGGTGCCGGTCACCACGCTGGACACTGGGGTCATGCTGGTGCCGGTCACCACGCTGGACACTGGAGTCATGCTGGTGCTGGCTGCCACACTGGACACTGGAGTCATGCTGGTGCCGGTCACCACGCTGGACAATGGGGTCATGCTGGTGCCAGCCACCACGCTGGACACTGGGGTCATGCTGGTGCCGGTCACCACACTGGACACTGGAGTCATGCTGGTGCCAGCCACCACACTGGCCACTGGGGTCATGCTGGTGCCAGTGACCGCGGTGGCCACTGGGGTCATGCTGGTGCCAGTGACCACAGTGGCCACTGGGGTGACACTGCAGTTGGCATCTTGCCGCGGCACGTGGAGGGGCAGGCTGTGCTGCAGGGATTCCATCAGGGATGGGACATTAAGGGTCTTCTCCAGCCACATCAGCGGTAACATCCAGGACACAGCACCCGGGGTCAACTCAGGAGAGGTGACAGGGGCGATGGTTGCTTCTGACCCAGCAGGCTCCAACATACTTGCCCCAATGGAAGCAAGCCCAGGTGGGCTCTGCTCTGGGGGGGCAGGGGACTCAGCTCCCTCAGGGGTGCCTTGGTAAGGCAGAGGACCAACACTCCTATCTCCAGATAGGGACTCAGAGGCCACAGAGCTGCAGGAAAAGTCTGGGGGTGCCACTTGCCACCCATGGAAAGAAGCTTTCTGTGGGGTGGAGCTGGTGCCGGGAGGCCCTGGGGTGCAGGGTCCTATGAAGGAGCTGCACAGGGGAGCTTTCATGGCACTGCCAGGGGACTTAGGGGTGCAGGGCACAGGGATGGAGCTGCACAGGGGGGCTGACAGATTGTTTCCAGAGGACTCTGGTGTGCTGGCCACAGGGATGGAGCTGCACAAGGGAGCTGGCACAGTGTTTCCAGGGGACTCTGGTGTGCTGGCCACAGGGCTGGAGCTGCTCAGGGGAGCTGGCACAGTGTTTCCAGAGGACTTTGGGGTGCTGGGAACTGGGATGGAACTGCACAGGGAAGCTGGCACGGTGATGCTGGGGGGCTCTGTGTTGCTGGGCCTCAAGACCAGGCTGCACAAAGGTGCTGGCACAGCATTGTCAGGGTGCTTTGGGGTGCCAGCCTCTGGAATAGGACTGCCAGGGGCCTCTGGGCTGGTGCTGCTGGGGGCTCCAAGGCACCAGGCATTACGGTGGGATTGCTGGGGGCCTCAGAGGCACCAGGCTTAAGGATGGGAGTCCTGGGGATCTCTGATGGGCGGGGGCCCAGGGTAGAAGTCCGGGAGGGCTCCAAAACGGTGCTTTTGGGGGGCCCAGGGGTGCAAGGCATTGGGGTGGTGCTGCTGGGGGGGACCGAGGTAGCACTTCGCAGAGGTCCTGGGGTGCAAGGCACTGTGGTGACGCTGCCGCGGGAGCCCCGGGCACGGGACACTGGGGTGGCACAGTCACCATCCTACAGGACATTTGGAGGGAAGGGGATGTCAGGGCAGCCCTGCCCTTCCCCCCTGCACCCAGCAGCCATTTTCCCAGCCTCCCCATTTCCCCCACCCCACTGCCCTGTAAGGGTAGATTTTACAAGAAGTAAATCTTCCGGAAGATTTTACGAGACTAGGGTATTTCACTTAAGAAACCTTTCCTGCCTAGAAGAGGGATCTTTCCCCACAGGGAGTTTTAGATGTTTTCTCTTCCTCTATTCCAGAGAAAAACTCCCTGGTATGAGAAAAGGTAAGTTCTACAGACATGTCGAAGGTCCCCACAGAGGGGGAGTGCCAGGGATGATAAAAGACCTGAGAAGAACAGGGGGGAGTGTCTTGCCCAGGGCCCGGTGTTTGAAACTCCGATAAGATTAATGTTCTTTTAAGTCTACGGTTCTCGACTTCGGAAATAATTTTTCCTACAATCCCTCCCACTACCTGGCATTTCGGGGGTACCTGCGCGTTATCTCACTTCACACGCCCGCCCAGTGCCCCAGTACCCCCATGCCCCCCGGTGTCCCCAGTTCCAGTGCACCCCAGCAGCCCTCCCCGTTACCCGCTCGTTACCCGCCGCACACCGACCTTGAGCCGCAGCCGGTGGAACAGCGGGGTCAGCCCGGTCCGGTCGGCGCTCGGCTGGAGCTGCAGCTCCAGTAGCGGGGTGCGCCGGGGCCGCTTCTGCGCCTGGGCGGACACCGGGGGTCAGCGGCAGCACCACCGGCAGTGCCCCCCATCCCCACACACACACATATACACATACACATACAAACACACCGGGAGCGCTCCGGGTCGCCCCGAAAACGCCACCGCCCCCTCCCCCGGGACCTCCCCCCTCTCCGCCCCACGGGATCATCCAAACCGCCCGCCAGCCCCGGCCCGCACTCACGGCGGGCGTCCTGGCGGCCTGCATGGCCCGGGAACGGTCCCGGCCCCGCTCACGCTCTCGGGCCTGCTCTCCGCCTCGGCGCGGGCCCCGCCTGGGTGTGCTCCCGTGCCGGTCCCCGGCGCGGCCCCTCCCGGGTGTGCTCCCGGTTGTGCTCCCGTGCCGGTCCCCGGGGCGGTCTCCCGGGTGTGCTCCCGGGTGTGCTCCCGTGCCGGTCCCGGGGCGGTCCCGCCGCCCGCGCGCCGCCGGTTTGAACACCAGGCGCGCCTCTGATTGACTGCGCCGCGCGCGCGTCACCGCGGGGGCGGGGCCTGCGCAGAGGCCGCGCCCACCACCGGAAAGCCCCGCCCCTCCCACCGCGCTGCACGGCGGTCACGGATAGACAGACGGACAGACGGACAGACGGACAGACGGAGGGGGCACGAATCTAGCTCTTCCCCCGCCCCTGGGGCTCCCCCAGCGCCCGCCCCTGGGGAACCAGCCTTACACGCCCCCCCGTCCCCCCCAGGTCTGGCCCAACATCGACCCGAAGGGGCAGGGGGTCCAGTCCCGCCACCCGCCGCGGTGGTCGCGCTTTCCCCCCACGGGCGTCCCGCAGGAGTCAGGGCAGCACCTTCAGCAGTGCCCGCGGCTCTCGGGTTTATTGCTCCCGCGGGGAGAGGTACAGAGGTGAGGTACCCGGGGGTGAGGTTGGGGAATACCCGGGTACCCCGTGGGGGACCCGGCCCAGCAGGGTCCAACCCGCTGCCGGGGTGGGGAATGTCCCTGAGCGATGCCGAGGGTCTCAGCCATGGTGGCTCAGCCAGGCCAGGGCCGGTCCGGGGGGTCGGCGAGGTCGTAGTCAAAGTCGGCGAAGGTGGCGGGGTCGGGTGGGGACTGCTCGCGGGGTTGCGGGGCCACTGCCACCACCACCGGGTCCTTCTGCAGCAGGTCAGCATCGAAGGCCACTCCACGGAAGAAGGGGTGGCCCTGGAAGTGGTGGAGGTAGCGCAGGCGGTACAGGGGGTTGTGGCACAGCAGCTGGAGAACAGAGGGAGGACAGTGAGTGGTGGGGACCCCAGCATCCAGAGGGAGACCCAAAATCCAGGCAGGAGGGTTACCTCAGCGAGCAGCCGGGCTAGCTCGGGGCTGAACGCAGGTGGGCTCTCATAGCTGCTCTGTTTGACACGTTCCAGCATGGCCACGTGGTCCCCCGCCGGCGCCACAGGGAACTGGAGGGAGCGTGGAATGAATTCTGGGTCTCCCTGTGTGTCCCTGATCCCCCCACCACACTGTGGTACTCACCTCCCCACTGGCCAGGGCGAAGAGCAGGACTCCCAGGGACCACCAGTCAGCCGCGTGGCTGTAGGGTCCCCCACTCAGCACCTCTGGGGCTGTGGGGATGAGTGGGTGAGTGCCTGGGGGGGCTGTGCCCCCCATCACAGCCCCCCTCTGCCCCCTTACCCATATACTGCAGGGTGCCACAGATCGTGTGGGCTCGCTCGCCCCATTGCAGGTACCGGGAGAGGCCAAAGTCAGTGAGCTTGAGGTGCCCTGTGGGGAAACCCACAGAGTTGTCCCCATGGAGAGGGTGTCCCCATGGAGAGGGTGTCCCCAAGGCGGTGCCACCAATCTCTTACCTCTCTCATCCAGGAGGATGTTCTCCATCTGAAATGAGACAGGCACTGAGGTGGCTTCTCCATACCAGGGGTTCAGAGACCCCTTCCAGCCCAGCCCCCAGCCCTGCTGCCACCCACCTTCACATCTCTGTGCATGATGCCCAGGTCGTGGAGGTACACTGAGGAGAAGACAGCCATCAGTGCCGCGTGACCCCTCCCAGCACAGTGCCCACTGCCACCCCCAGGGCACCCAGCAGGCAACTGCCCACCTCAAAGGATGGCTGACCCTACCTGTGGGTCCCCGCTGGTGGGGACAGTGGTGGCTGTCCCCGGCATGGCAGGTCACTCACCCAGCACCAGCACCAGTTCGGCGGCAAACAGGCGGACGGTGGCCTCGGCGAAGCAGCCGGCGGCGCGCCAGAGCGCGTGCAGGTCCCCAGTGCTGCAGTAGGTGCACACTGCCGGGACAGGGGACGTGCCTTACCGATGGGCTGTCCCACAGGGCCAGGCTGGCACGAGGGACACCGGGGTGGCATGGGCACAGGAGTGCACAGGGGTAACTGTGGCCATGCACCCAGGCGACACAGGCACCACGGCCGTGCACTGAGGTGATGGAAATGCTGGGTTTATAAGGGCAGCGAGGTGGCACAAGCACCAGGGCAATATGGGCCCTAAGGTGACAAAGGCGTGACTAAGGTGACATGGGAGCATGCGAGTACTGGGGCCATGTCCCATGGTGACGTGGGCACCAGAGCCATGTGGGCAGCACTGTGGCCACACAGGCACCAAAGTGACATGTTCCTTGGGGTCACACAGGCACTGGGAACATGCAAACCGTGTAGGGACTGAGGTGACACAGCCACCGGGGCCACCGGGGCTAGGTGGGCACTGGGGCTCAGGTGTTTTGTTCACCCCCACACCGGCCCCTGCCCCGTTGTGGCTTGTTTCCCTCCCTGTCCCCCTATCCCCGTGCCTGTGCGGGGTGGGAGATGGGGGCCGGCAGCCAAGCTCCTGGATCCCCACGGGGCAGCGGCTGCGCGGGGGGAGCGCGCGCGTGTGCGGGGACACGTGTGCGGGCGGCAGGGACACGTGCAGGGCGGGGGGCCGGGGCGAGCCCGCGGGCAGATGGTCACTCACTGATGAAGAGGTGGCGCTGGCCCTGCCAGCTGTCCCCCAGCCCGTGGACAAACGGGTGCCTGACCTGTCTCTGGGGACACAAAGCAGAGAGGGTGAGCGGCCCCCGGGGTGGGGGGCCAAGCGGGGAGAGGGGACCCCGCTTCTGCTTCCTTCCATCCACAGCCCCCACAGCCTCCTCATGTCCCCATGGCCACCGTGAACCCCTACACGGGCTGAGGTCCCTCCTGGATCCCCCCTTAACCTGTATGCTGACTTCTTCCTTGCACTGCTTGAGGGTGTCACGGCGCAGCACCTCCACTTTGGGCACGACCTGGGGGGCAGTGCGGGGCTGTCAGAGGGGGGACAGGGGCAGCTGAGGGCACCCCATGGGCCCCGGGGGCAGCACCCACCTTCACAGCGCAGACTTTCTCCCTCCCACAGTCCAGCACTTTGAGGATGGTCCCGAAGGAGCCTTTGGCCACGAAGCCCAGGATCTGGGGGGGCGGAAGGAGGAGCAGGGTCTGAGCACTCCATGGAGATGGGCTTGGGGTGCTCAGAAAGGGGGTGCTGCAGGGGGGAGGGTGTGGGCACAGAGCATGGTGGGCACAGGCACACTTGGGGACCAGGAGGACTCAATAGGGACCCCAGCAGGATACATGGGAACCCGATGTGGGGCACAGGGACACGGGGGACCGGGACAGCAGTGGATATTGACAGAATGCACAGGACCCCAGTACTACACGCGGGATCCGGGTGGGATGCAGAGGAACCCCGGTGGGACACACAGATACTCGATATGGGGCACGAGGACGTGGCGGGGGTAGAAGGGGACCCGGTGCGACGGCCGGGGACACCGCTAAGGATGCACAGGGACCCGGTACAGCGTGCGGGGAGAGCTCGGCAAGACGGTCGGCGGTGCCGGGTTGGTGGCACGGAATGCACGTACGGCGCAGGAGGATGCTCAGGGCGCTGGGGAACCCCGGTAGGACGTGCAGGAACCCCGATAGGACGAGCAGGAATCCCAGTACAGGATGCGAGGGGACCCGTTAGGGCGCCCGGGGCTGCCGGGGTAGGATGCGGGAGGCGCGGGCGCCCCAGGAGGACGTTCGGGGACCCCGTTCGGATGCACCGGGACCCCGTTCGGAGGGTGGGGGCCCCGGGACGGCACCTTGAGCTGCTGCTGGCGGGCGGAGGGGCGGACGGGGAACTCCGGCAGGAACAACGAGACGAGCTGCGGTAGTGGCCACCCGGGCAGCGGCGGCTCCTCGGCGGGGCCCCGCGGGGCCAGGGCGAGCCCCGGTACCGGCACCGGTACCGATACCGGCATCGACCCAGCGCGGCTCAGCAGCGCCCGCACCCACGACCCCACGGCGCGGCCCTGCGGAACCGGGGACAGCGTCACCCAGGGGATCCCGGGCGCGGGGGATACCCGGGGGGACCCCTCGGGATGATGCCGCCGCACGCACCTGGGGGCCGCACGGGGGCCGGGGCCGGGCCGGGGCCGCTGCTCGTTGCTCCCATCGCGGCGCCGCCCGGCCGCGCCCCGGGCCCGGTCCCCGGTAATCGCCGCCTTACATAACCCCGCCGCCCCGCCCCGCCCCGCCCGCCGCGACCACCCCCGCCCGGGACACGGCGGCAGTGCTGCCCTTTGCACCGCGACACCCACCCGTGAGCGATCCCCCCACCCTCCAGGACCCTCACCCACCGCTTTGGGGTTGCTCACCCACCCGTGGCTGATCCCGCCCCTTATCCGGGACCCCCACCCCTAACACACACTTGGGTTGCCAGTGCTCCCTGTGATCCTGCCCTCACTCCAGGACCCCTCCTTGCACACTTCAGGGCTCCCCCTTCAACCTTTCCTTTGCACCCCCTTGCTGCGGCGCTGAGGGAGTGCCTGCAGCCCACACTGAGCCCTGGCATGGCCCCAGGCACTGATGGGCTCATGGGGAAGACCTGAGAGGGCTAAGTGTACAGGCTGAGCCCAGAGTGATGCAGGGGTGCCCTGAGCCCCTAAAGTGGGTTCCCCGAGAAACTCCTGAGGAAGGGCAAGGGATGAAGCCCCCACATAGGGGGTGCTCCTGGGCACAGGGAGGGGGCAGTGCTGAGTCTGACACTGTGGGGAGGTGAGAAGCAAACCCCTGGCTCAAGACCATTCCAAATTAAAAACTCTTTTATTTAAACTCTCTCCTGCTCCCCTTTCTCCCAGCCTGGAGCGATCCTGCTGCTTCACCAGGCCCAGGAGCTGGGCCCAGCACCCGCACAGCAGGGAGGGGGGGAAGCTCGCGGGAGCCCTTGGCACGAGGGCCTGCACCCCACAAAGCAGCCCCGGAGCACCTTGTGCCCCCACATCCCCGTGCTGCTGCACCCCTGCCCCGCAGCGACGGGGCTGCCGAGGGCCTGCGAGTGGCTAATCCCTGGCTCGGGCATCGCCGTGCCGAGCAGCGCAGCCCTCCCTCCACCTTAGGGGTGCCCCCCCCAAGGGGGGAGCACAGGGCACTCCAGTCCCTTCCCGGCCTGCCGGGTGCTGCCGTCATTTGCGCCTGCCGAAGATCGACTTCTTGCTGGGGTTCTTCTCGCCCACGCTCAGCCCGATGAGCAGACGCGCCTTCTCGTCCTCCTCCTGCTGCTGGATGGTCCCGTCTGATTTGCTCTCCAGCTTCCCCCGGGCCTCCGCGCCCGCCGCTGGCTTCAGGCGTAGCTTCTCTTTGATCACCTGCCCCGGGATTTAGGGGGCTCAGCACCCCCATGGCCACACCCAGGCCCCTCGGCGTGTGGGAGAGCCTGAGCTGCTGAGCCAGTGTGGCTGCTTCCCATTTTGGAGAACGTGCCGCCAGCCCTGGGGTTACCACCTCCAATCTGGGCAGAGCAGCTCCGGCAGCCTGCAGGGTGGGAAGCGGGAGGGGTCCCACATACCTGTGCTACCAAGGCTTTGCGGCTGTCCCTCTTCACCGCCATGGCGAAGTCCAGCCACGTCCAAGTGTTGTTGTGGTACTCCAGGCACGGCAGCACCAGGTTCAGGTCACCCCAGTCCACGCTGTTCTTCTCACCCTGAGTGATGGGGGTGTGTCAGTGTGGGAC